ATATAATATCAATAAGTAACACTCCAATGTAACAACATTCTTAAAAAACTCCTTAGTGTAACACTCTAATGTAACACATACAAAAATTTTTTAGTATACTTTTTCTAAACATAATACTTCAATGTAACACTCAAAAAAAATGTTAGATTCTTCAAACCATTCTAAAATGGTGTGGAATTTTTCAAACCATTTTAAAAGGATGACAAAAAAATTCTTAGTAAGCTTAAAGTAAATGTATAATTTCAAATTGTGAGTTTTACGTTTGAAAAAAGTACACAAAATAATTTTTTTGTGTTTTTATGTGTGTTACATTAGAGTGTTACGTTTGAGATTACATTAATTGGAGTGTTACGTTTGAGAAAAGTACAGTAAAAGGTTTGTTTGTATGTTACATTAGAACGTTATGTTTGGAAAAAGTTTAAAGTGTTACGGTATTACATTTAGGAAAAATATGCTAAAAGTTTTTTAGTACATCACATTGAAGTGTTACGTTATTGGAGTGTTATGTTCTTATTCGTAATGTGAGATTTGTTCCAGAATGATAGAAAATCAAAAATCTCTATAGTGTGGATTGTCCAAATGTGTAATTTTACATTTAAAAAAATTCATTTTTATCCCTCAAAAATTAAACCCAAATGTGTAAGTTCTTTTGTGTAATTTCCATTTTAACGGGATTTTGGGTTCGTAAGAAAAAATAAAGAATTAAACAATTCACAAGATCATATTTTGAGATTTATTGGTGCTTTACCCAATTTTTTAATTATTTTTTTTTTAATTTTTAGATCCACTTAATCGTAATATACTTAAAAAGTAAAAAATTTGTATAAAAATATTTAAAAATTTCATTGAATACAACAAAATATGAAAATGTATTAAATTTTCATATTTTTTATATTTTTTGTATTTGGTGAATTTTTTAAATTTTTTTTTATAAATATTATACTTTTTAAGCGTATTTAGATTAGGTATATCTAAAAAATAAAAAATTTACATAAAATATTTATAAAAATTACTAAAAATTAAAATATATATATATATATATATGAAAAGTAAAAACTCAATTTTCTGAAAAGTTAAAAGTCAAATTCTAGTCAACAAACTTAATTGTTACGGTTTAAAAATGAGATATCGAAGTGAAATTCAAGTGAAATTTTAAGGGTGAAAAATGTAATTGACTTTAAACAAATGCTAAGCATAAAACTACTAAACTAATTACAATGATAAAAAATAAAAAAATAAAAATAAATTTGACAAAATTTTAAACATTATAATCAAAGGTGCATTGTGTATTACAGAATAGGAGAAATTACAAATATACTCTCTAAGATTTGATTAAAATACAAATTATTTTTTGTGGTTTTGGAAATTACATTTCACCAGCTGATGTTTATAATTTCATAACAAATCGCTTCTTTTATTAATAAATTATCAAGTCAATTAACAGTTTTTAATGATGTTATAAATATGTTTCAATTAATAATTTAAGTAATTTTATTATTGTAGAGAAGAGTAATTATGAATTTCTTTTTTTTAGTTAATTTTGTTAAATAAAAAATTTTAACAATGGAGTATTTGTAATTTTTCAAACTACAGGGTGTAATCTGTACTTTAAACAAACCTCAGAGAATGTATTTGTAATTTACTCTAATAATTTTGAGTTTGATCTTTATAACAAAATAAATTTTTAATATTGTCAATTTAAATTCTAAAAATTTGATTTGTTTTCAATCGAAATCATCTGTCTATTTCAGTTGAGTAAAAATGACCAGAAAAAAGAGTTTTTAATCATTAAATTTAATAAAGGAATATATTAGACATTATTTATACCTACATTGAATTTAATAACTAAAATACTTTTTTTAATCGATTTACTTAATGAAAATAAATTAATAATTTAGATTGAAAATAAATCAAAATATTAAAATTTAAAATTGATAAAATGAAAATTTTAGAATTTATTTTATTATAATGGTCAAATCTGACGTTTTGTTTTTGTACATTTTCCTAATTTTTTGGTGTGATGTTGCACCAATGAATGCTTTTCCCATATTGCTAGGCCAATCCATGCATTAAAATTTGTTTAATAAAATGTATAATGAGTTTCCGCTTGTGGTAGGGAGTGGCGGTGGGCCAATGAAATTGGTCATATTCAGATGTGTCTGCTGAGAAAAAATAAAAGTAATACACAACAAGAAAAGCATAAATTAAACCCGCGGGCGCCCCCCGGGGTCGGCGGGACTGCTTGACTGAAAAATACGTAAAAAATAAAATAGGTTAAATAAATTTAGAATATAAAATGTGATATTCAAATTATAATTATTTTATTTTTTTATTAATAAAAGACAAAAAAAAAAAAGTCAAATTAAACAGAATTTTAATCCAAAATTAAAATAATTAAAAAACTAATTAAAAAACTAATTAAAAAAAATCAATTACCAAACGAAAACATGGCTATTTTGGGAAGATGATTAAAAATCATCTTTCAACTTTTAACTCATTTTGGGTCATATCATATTATCTCTCACATTTTTTATACGTTTTTTCAAAAAAAAGTCAAAACAAATCAAAAAGTTAACTTTTAATCATTTTCTCAAAATAAGTTAAAACACATATATAAATAGGTGTTTATATATTTATTAAGGGAGATTTATTTGAAAAAAAAATTTCCAAGTATTTGTATTCCAATTAGTTCATAAGATATTCTTGTATTGTAATAAGTCTTATTATTTGAACATTTGATCTACCAAATCATAATTTTCATATCTAAAGTATTTTATGGACATTTCTACCCTTACAAATATTTTTTGAACGATTAGCAATTTTGTGATTTGAACATTCATATTTTATAATGTGAATATTCACATTGACGTGTGAATGTTCACATTGATAGTGTGAACATTCACATTGACAATATGAATATTCACATTGACGGTGTGAATATTCACATCACAAAACATTCACATTGTAAATATAAATATTATTAGGAGTATTTTGATAATTATGTTACTCATAAAATTTATTAGAACATAAAAAAATAAAATTAAATAAATAAAATATAAATAGATAATTAAAAAAATTATGAAAAAGTGTCCCTTTTATTATTTATACAAAAATATGGAAGTCCTATAATAATGTGTGTAGTAATGGACTGTGATAGCCACTTTCCGCCATTGACTCGTTCCATGCATGCGTTGATTGCATCTGATATGAATTCAAACTCAAGTTGTGGTTTGAACCTCCGTTTGGGAAGTGGGTTGGCTTTTTGGCTTTTTGGCTTTTTTGGCTATTTTAGCCTGGGCTAAAAAGTTTGGTTTGGGAAGGGCTTTTTGGCTTTTTCACTTTTTTGACTTTTTTTGTGAGAGAAGACCCTTGTATCTTTCCTTTCTCCTTCTTGGCTATGAAATTAATTTTGAGTTTATCTTTGCCTTTAGATTTATGAGAATGAATAGATTCCAAAAGATTAGGATTCTTTTTCAAAAAAGATTTTTTAAATTGTTTAACAAAAGCAGCCGTAATCTTGGAATCTATATCACACAGGGATTCTGGAGATCTAAGGAAAGTTTCGTCCTTTGTTGCAGGCTAGATTGACTTGCTTCTTATATTGATCGTGTATGTCGGCCTGCCCCTTTGCATAAGCCTTCACGTCAGCAGCCTTGACTTCAGCCTCCTTGGCCTCCAATGCCTCTTTGAGTTTGGCCTCAGTTTGAGTAACCTTGGCCTTGGCCTTGGCCTCGTTGTACTTCGCCTCGATTGCCTTGGCTTTCTCCTCAACCGCTTTTGCCGCAGCCTCGGCTTTGTGCTAGGCAGACTTAACGGCATTGGCCTTATCCATGAGAGGTGAATTCGGGTCTCAGCCTTGTTTAGAGAAGAAAGGAGACTATCAACTTCTTGTGTCTTCTTGGTCAAATCCTTCTTCACTAACTCGGCCTTGACCGCATGTTCAGACTTAGAACCGTGACAATTTGAGAGTCCTGAGCTGTAGTAACCCCAAATGAACGGAACGGGACTCACCCTCCCGGGGCGTTCGGGGACGTCTACAGATAGATACTCCATCTCCATACAATATCATTCTAAGAAGACCATGGCTACATGTAAAGAGGGTTGTTCCCTCAACGCTGTACTAACTGTTGCGATTCCCAACTGAACAGGGAATTGAAAAAGTAAGAGAAGACCAAGTACAGGTAAAAAATTACTCTATTGCAGCAATGAAGTACACCTGCAATATAAGGGAAGCAAAGAATGTAGAGATTGAAAGTGAAGACCACAAGGTCTTGGATGATGTCAGCAAAGAGCCAGTTGACAAGTGCAAAGAACCCTTGAAAAAGGTTCTTATGCCATAAGGTGATGATGACCGATTCTTCCTCCTCGACACCAGCAGCTAAAATTGATGCCCAGAAAAGAGGATAGAAGACAGTCCTAGTTGTTCCGTAGCATGGCATGGGATAGGAAAACTCACATCGACTGTCACGGGATATCAGGCGAACAGAGTCAGTACGAGGCGAGTCATAGAGGACACCACGGACCAAAGCGACCTTTGTTAAAGGATCTCAGCAGATCCAAGGGCAAGGTCTCTATTTTGAAGCAGTGCACGAAAGGAAGTCCAAGAGGACGCACAATTACACTGGGAGCAGTACGCCGAAGAGGCTAATAGCTATTGATAGCTGAGCTCCCGGTAAAACGAAGAAGGATCTGAGAGATTTCCTCCAGAGAAAAAGACTCAACGCCGAGATCACGTCCACCGTCTAGCTGAGGATGCCATTCTAAGTAGAGTTGGATACGTTTGAGGCCTCGAAGAGATTCCACATGCCGAGGTTTCAGATTGATGATAGTAAGTCTGATCTAAACTTTCGTGTTGGTTTATATTTGAATTCAATGGCTTTGTGGAGTGGGAATGAGTAGTTGTTGTGCAAGGTGTTCCCTCATCCTTTGGGAAAATCACAACGAATTAGTTCCACAAGTTGTCGAAAGGAACTGTTAAGAGCTAGGAAGGCCTGGCCAAGATGTTTGTGGCCAGATTTGTTACTAATAAGTTGCAGCCACTAACGGTAGACTTCTTACTGGCTTCGAACATTAGCGAGGGTGAGAGCCTTAGGGCTAACGCTAAGAGATATTACGAGGTGTTCAATCGAATTCCTGCTTGCAACCAGGAGTTGACGGTCGTGTCCTTTAAGAACAGCCTAGATGATGAATGCTCGCTTCGGAAATCACTAGCAAAAACTCTACCAAAGAGTATGGAGGAGCTCAAGGCACGGATGAAGAAGTATGCCAGAGCAAAAGAGGACACGCAGGGGACAAAGGCACCAAAGCAGGAGAAGAGAAACGGCTCACTGAAGCGAGGCCGAGGTAACATTGGCTTTAACAGGTAGGGAACAGGGTTGAGGGCCGTACAAGCAGTCACCACTGCATCCGGGATCTTGGTCTACAAAGTTCTGGAAAGGATTAGGAACCAACCGTATTACAGAGCGCCGGAGAAGATCCCTGGCGAGTTTATGAGAAAAAGCCTTACGAAGTATTGTGCTTACCATAATGAGGATGGGCACTTGACTCAAGGATGTAGGGCTCTGAAGACACGCTTGGAGGATTTGGTCAGACAAGGCCACCTGAGAGACCTAGTAGACGAGACAAGGACAAAGGAAAAGCATGCAAGGCTTCCCCAGGCACCAGCAACACCACCTTGGCCACCACCACAACAGGCAGATGGACCTCGGGTAATCAATGTGATTCACTCAAAAGTGAATGAGAATGAAGTACTAGGGATACCCAAAGAGTAAAGCATTTGTAGCATGTGTATCGGGTCCAACAGAAAAAGTCGCGAAAGAGTGAATATCAGGCACCGATGATTTCTTTCATTGAGGCCGATTTAGATATGGTGCAGCATTCACACAATGATGCTCTAGTGGTGACTTTGAAGATCGGAGATTGCAAGGTGAGGCGCATACTGGTTGATCAAGGCAGTTCGTGCGACATCATGTATATTAGATATTACAAAGAGCTTGGCCTTTACCCAGATGATCTAGAACAATTCCATAGCCCGATGGTTGGATTTAACGGGACCCCAACATGGCCTCTCGAAGCCACGAATTTGGAGGTGCAGGCATGCACCAAGAAGGTAAGGACGAAGTTTACAGTAATTGACACCCCCTTCCCTTACAATGTTATTTTAGGTAGACCGTGGTTACACGCAATGAGGGCTATTCCCTCAACATTGCACCAGCTGTTACGATTCCCTATTAAACAGGGAGTAGAGGAGGTTAGAGGAGACCAAGTGCAGGAGAAAAATTGCTCTATGGCAGTAATGAAGTCCACCTGCAATGTGCGAGAAACAGAAACAGTGGAAATTGAAGACGAGGACAGGGAGGTTCTAGATGATGTCGGCAAAGAACCAGCCGACAAGAGTGGGGAAGCTTTGAAGAAGATTTTGGTCCAAGAAGGTGATGAAGAGTGCTTTTTTCTTCTCAGCTCAAGCTTAGCGAAGGAGGAAGAGGAAAAAGAGTTAGAGACTTTCTTGCGTGCAAACATAGAAGTGTTTTCCTGGATGCTCTATGAAATGCCTGGCATTAACCCCAAGGTCACTTGTCATAGGCTCAATGTGGACAGGTCGGCCAAACGTGTCATCTAGGAAGCAAGAATGCCGACATTAATACATGTGGCGGCAATCGAAGAGGAAGTGAACAAGCTATTGGAAGCCTAGGACATCCGAGAGGTGAACTGCCTACCTGGCTGTCCAACATAGTAGTTGTGAAAAAGAAGAACGACAAGTAGAGGGTCTGTGTGGACTTCACCAGCCTGAATAAGCCTTGCCCCAAGGATAGCTTCCCTTTGCCTAAGATAGATTAGCTGGTGGATGCCATATTCGGGCATGGAAGGATGAGCTTCTTAGATGCTTACAGAGGATACCACCAGATAGCGATGTATCCCCCTGATGAAGAGAAGACGACATTCATCACTCCAAAAGGGCTATACTGTAACTGGGTAATGCCCTTTGGGTTGAAGAATGCAGGAGCAACTTACCAAAGGTTAGTGACGAAGATATTCAAGCATCTAATTGGGAGGACAGTAGAGGTCTACATCGATGACATGGTCGTGAAGACCAAAGAACCTGGGAACCATCTGGCTAACTTGAAGGCAGTCTTTGACATCTTTAGAACATATCGGCTCCGACTCAATGCTTCAAAATGTGCATTTGGAGTTAGGTCCGGTAAGTTCCTGGGATACTTGGTCACCAAGAGGGGCATTGAAGCAAGCCCATATCAGATCATGGCCATCCTTAATTTAAAGAGCCTGACATCAGCCAAACAAGTACATATGTTGACTGGAAGGGCAACAGCCTTGAACAGGTTCATTAGCCAAAATTTGGATAAGTGAAACCATTTTTTAGTTTGTTGAAGAAGGCGACAGATTTTTTGTGAACGGAAAAATGCGAAGTCGCCTTAGTTGACTTAAAAAGATACTTGACAACAGCTCCAGTTTTGTTAACTCCAATACCTAGAGAAAAACTATTCCTGTATTGGCGGTATCAGACCACGCTGTTAGCGCGGTGGTAATCTACGAAGAGGAGGGGGAACAGAAGGCCGTATACTACGTGAGCAAGACCCTAGCGAGGGCAGAAACTAGGTACCTGCCCTTGGAGAAGTTAAAACTAGCCCTGGTGATGGCTTCCAAAAAGTTGAATCATAACTTCCAAGCCCATAAGATTGTGGTCCTAACTGAGTATCCCCTAAAGTCCCTGTTACAGCATGGAGATCTGATAGGCAGAGTAGCCAGATGGCAGTGGCGTTGGGTCAATATGACTTGGAATTTAGGCATAGAACAACAATCAAGGGCCAGGTTCTAGTCGACTTTATGGCCGAGTTCACTCCTGGTGCCATCCCAAGGCGGGCTCCGGTGAGCTACGGTTTAGGATGCCCAAGAGAATGAAAAGAAACCCGACTGGGGCCAAAAAACCCCACGCCAGTAACACGGAAAGAAGAGGAGAAACCAAAGCCCTGCAATATCTACATCAAAGACTCCTTCCGGCTCTTTGTTGATGGAAACTCAAACTGACAAGGAGCAGGGGCAGGAGTAATGTTAGTATTGCCAGAAGGGCGAATGATAGAGCAGTTTATTCGTTTGGGGTTCAAGGCCTCAAATAACGAAGCAGAGTGTGAGGCGCTGATTACAGGGTTGAAGCTAGCAGCAACCATGGAAGCTGATGAAGTAGTAGTCTTTTGCCACTCATAGCTCATTATAAACCAAGCAACATACGAGTGTGTAGCCCGAGATGAAAGAATGATAGCCTATGTCAAGGGGGTTGTCAAGCTGCTGACACTATTTGAGAATTGATGGCTACAACAGGTTAGCTGAGATGATAATAGCCATGCCGACGCCTTGTCTAACCTGGCCAGCACGATGAAATCAGGTGAGGCCAGGACAATAATGGTGGATTATTTGTCAAGCCCAAGTATAGAACCCTTTATCACAGAATACAAAGCAATGTGTGTAGAGATAGGTCTAAGCTGGATAGACACCATAGTTGTGTTTCTCAGAGATGGCAAGCTGCCAGCAAATAAAAAGGAAGCACACAAAACTAGATTGAAGTCGGCCAGATTTTTCCTATCAACAGAAGTCTTTTATCGATTCTGAGTCTTACTTTCTTTGTTTTTCTTGCCTAATTCAAACAAATCTTAGCCGAGGTTTTCTACCTCAATGTCTCTGCTAATCTGACTAGATCAATCTTAGTTCAACTCTGTCGTCCTGACAAGTCTAAGTTATGTATCATGTTCTATTCTGAAATATCACCAACTTAGTTCAATTCTACCATATGGCAAGTGTTAATTCAACTTGACTATATGGCAAGTCTGAGTTATTCGTCATGTTTCATTCGGAAACATCGCCAACTTAGTTTAACTCTACTATATGGTAAGTTTAATTCAACTCTATCATATGGTAAGTCTAAGTTATTCGTCATGTTCACTATAGGAATATCGTCATAACACTATTCAGTCTTATCACAATAGTGTCAACAATAATCCGTACACACAAATTCGAGCTAGCATTTTATTAATACTTCGGCTAATAAATTTATTACATGAAACTCAATAAACAAAAAACTAATGGTGAAAAAACTTCAAATTGTTTGTGTTCCAAGGTCTAAGCAACTCCTTGCCATCAGTATCTTCCAGCCGATATGCGCCATTGCCGGCGACCGAGATGATTCGATATGGTCCTTCTCAATTTGGGCCAAACTTGCCCTCCTTGGGATCCTTCTTGTTGCCGACAACCTTTCTAAGGATGAGGTCCCCAACCATGAATTCTCTTGGGTTGACCTTCTTGTTGTAAGCCCTAGCAAGCCGCTACTGGTATGCCCCTAGCCGAACTATTGCTCTCTCCCTTCTTTCTTCCAACAGATCAAAATCTTGGGCAAGGAATGCCTCGTTGGTTCCCTTATCCACTCCTTGGGCTCTGATTCCAGGGATGCCGACCTCTAATGTGATGACTGCTTCAGTGCCATATGTCATAGCAAAAGGAAATTCTCTAGTGGATCTTCTTGGCGTATTCCGTTATGCCCATAGCACATTGGGCAATTTTTCTACTCATTTTTCCTTAGCTACTTCCAACCGCTTCTTGATCCCATCCAAGATGATCTTGTTGGATACCTTTGCCTGACCATTGCTCTGGGGGAAGCTAGGGGTAGAATAATAATTTTTGATCTTATACCTTACACAGAAGCTCTTGATCAACTTACTATCAAACTGGGTGCCATTGTCTGCCATAATGGCTCTTGGGATCCCAAACCTGGTAATGATGTTTTTCCAGATGAAGTTCTTCACATCAATATCTCAAATCTTCGTAAGGGGTTCAGCCTCTACCCACTTTGTAAAGTAGTCTGTGGCTACTAGCAAGAATTTTCTCTGTCTAGTTGCCTGAAGCAATTGCCTAACAAGGTCCATGCCCCACTAGGAAAATGGCCAGGGACTGGATACTGGATTTAGATCTACTACTGGATGATGTATCAAAGGCGCAAACCTTTGACACTTTTTACACTTCCTTATATAGGTTTCAGCATCCTTCTACATGTAGGGTCACCAGTACCCCTAAGATATAGCCCTATAAGCAAGTGATCTGCCTCCAGCACGGCTTCCGTATACACCTTCATGGATCTTGTAAAGAAAGTCCTCAACTTGGGATGGATGCACACATCTCAGCAGGGGCCCAATGAAGGACCTTCTGTGGAGATGGCCTTCTGTTGACAGGCAGAACCTAGCCGACTTCAATCTGATCTTGTGTGCTTCCTTTCTGTCTGTTGGAAGCCTGCTATCTTTAAGGAACACAACTATGGTGTCCATCCAGCTCGGCCTCATCTCCATGCACATTGCTTCGTATTCTGTTATGAGGGGCTCTATACATAGGCCTAACAAATAATTAACCATTATTGTTCTTACCTCACCTGATTTCATTGCGCTGGCCAAGTTAGCCAAGGCGTCAGCATGACTATTATCATCTCGACTAACCTACAGTAGCCGGCAATTTTTGAACAGTGTTAGCAACTTGACAACCTCCTTGACATAAGCTATCATCCTCTCGTCTTAGGCTGCGTACTCGTTTGTTGCTTGATTCATAATGAGTTAAAAGTCACAGAAAACTACCACCTCATCGGCATCCATTGTTGCTGCTAGCCTTAGTCTAGCAATTAGTGATTCGTACTCCGCTTCGTTATTTGAGGCCTTGAATCCCAAATAGATGGATTGCTCTATCATCTGCCTATCTAGTGATACCAAAACCACTCTTGCCC